TGGATGTGGGTGTCGATCTCTTGGAGGTCGAAGAGTACCCGCGAAAGCGGGGTAGACAGATCCAGCGGTGTGTCTGTCGCATTGTTGGTGGCTACAACAAGGGAGTTGGCGAACGAGGCGGGTGAAAAGTCGGGGTCTAGAAAGGCCTCATAATCTATGTATGATGGCTCCGCATCCGCCATGGTGGGTGTCGCTTTCACTAGCTCGCTCTTCCACGGGGCCGGTGCTCAATCAGAAAACAGAGAGCTCGAGAATTGAAGGGGTATCAGAAGAAAGAAAAATGGACTGGGATGGAGGATCGAAACTCAAAAGAAGCTTGGGTATCACCGTATCAAACAAAGCAGCAGGAACACAGGTTCACGGCACGGGGCTTCCTGGGAATTTGGTGGAGCATGGGGTAAACAAAGCTAGATGTAGTCAACTCTTCCATGTGACAGTCTCAGCAACAGTCATCATCGGCCCAATTGCCCGGGGGGTTGATCGAACTAGCAGCAAGAGGTGACTTGGATGCTTTATTCATGCCATGTGTCGGCCGGGATGGAGTTGACCAGAACTCGCTTGGTGGATTAGTCATCCAGCATAAAACCACGTCTATGCATCCATGAAGATGTATACTTCGGTCAGCTCCAAGGTGCATATTCGAGGAACAGCTTTGATCGACCAAAAGTGGGTAGTTTCTCTGGATATTACTTTATATATCCGTACTGTAGACTACACTGTCTCCGATAGAGCGGGAAATTATTTATTGACACATCCAATTCAGCCGTCTGCAGCTCAGTCATGGTCCGTCACCATACAAAAGCTTCCAAGCACTGAGCTGAGCACCATACATTAGGCAACTGTAAGGGCCCCTAGTCTGCCTACTACTAGGGGAGATACCTATCATTCGAGGACCCCATTATCTAGAGATGGGATGACAGCCATCTTGACGTGTGCGACCTACACATGAGTTCGCCGCATGTTCATGACATTCGGTTCAATATCAGCCAGCGTCTAGCAAATGATGTATTCTGGAATCTGAAATCGATTCACCCTTGTGTAGCCTATCTTCTCGACAATAACGGCCAATATTATTCCTGGAGTCAGCATATTTCGCCGGCTATCTATGCCACATCTCGTCCTCGCCGTCTCCCACTGAGCAGTAGTCACGATTACAGCGACAAAACAAGCCCCCATGCCTGTAATCGCTTCCACCCAGCCCTTCAAACATCGAAACCCATTTCACCCCCGCTGCACCTTTCTCAATATCCCCGAGACCCTCGGCATCATACTCCACTTCTCCCCTTCCTCCCTTAGCTCCACAATCTCCCAATCCGCCGACTTGAGCAGGATATCAGCTATCGGGCGATCCAAACGACACCCATCCAACGCCACAGGCCACACCAGATTCCAGATCTCTATTCTTCCAAGTCAGCTCATCCCCCTCCCCCCATCTACACTAACAGTGAACGGGAAACATACTCTGCACGACCCAGGTAACCCAATCCGCACTCGCCCCATGCTCCCAGACAACCAACTCGCCCCCGGGCTTCAACAACCGCCAGAGCTGGGCGACCACTTGCTCCGGGTGCTCGACGGAGCACAGCACGCCGAAGCTGGTCACGCAGTCGACGCTCTCCGCGACGAGCCCGTGCCTCTCGAGGGTCGCGCGGTCCATGACGTCGCAGAACACCGGCACGTACAGGGCATCCAGCTGCAGCGCCGCGACCCTGGCGGTCAGCGCCGCGCGGAACGCCGCGTTGGGCTCCACGCCGTAGATGGCGGTGATCTGGTCGGCCTTGTATCGCTGCAGCTGGTTGCCGGATCCGGGCCCCAGCTCGAGGACGGTCCCGTGGGCGGCGGCCGCGAGCGCCGGTAGCGAGGTCGTGTCTTCGTAGGCGATGAAGTGCGGTGCTTTTTTTGGTTTGTGATCAGCAATGTCGGGGCATGTCCGGAGTGATTGGGTTAGAGTGCTAGGCGTACCAACTTCTGTGAACCACTGCGCGAAAGCGCGGCGCTGGACTGAGGTCCCCGGTTCATGGTCGGTGGATCTGTAGACCGTCCATATAGCTGGACGCGGGGGGTGCGGGACCCTTGTCAGTTTACTATACGTTTAGGTCCTATGAGCTGGGAGAAAGCCATACATCTGAAGGCACTGAGTAGTGGGCTGGACTTATCAAGGTAGCTGCGGAGGCGGATTTTCAAGTCGAACCCCATTGTAAACTAGCTTGTGTGGGAGGATCGGGGGCGTCTTATCTTTTGGTGTAGTGTACTGTGCTAGTTGGGGTTGCAGGGCGCGGGCAGCTTTTTATATGCGGGCGAGCGAGACGGAGCTAAGCAGCATATGGTGTCATTCTGTTCGAGAATCCTTCTGACTCCAATTATATCCCGCACCCGTTGTTCTTGTGCTTGTCTGCATGGTTCTGTTCAGTGCCACTATATGTGCGTGTAGCGGCTCGGTTGCGTGCGTACATTGCTGGCTGTTCGGCTGCTTGGTGGTGATGTATTTTGTGCATGAAATTGGCATGTTTCGTTGGGTATATGGTTTATCTATCTTTTTGCGTTATCTGTTGTACATGCTTTCTTGTGTGGGCATACTTGGTTTTTTACTTCAATACAATCGGATATATAAGTTGGAGCAATCGTGAATACATACCCAACCCCACAGCATTGCAACCCTGTGGACTAAAGCGGAATAGAATTTACGCCTATATACGTAGAATAGTGCTAGGCGCACCACTTATATGTATCAGAGAGTCGCAACAATTCAACCCCTTACTGATAATGCCTGTACAAGACTAGAGCTAGTCATCAAAACTCCTGTATTGCGCCTCGCTTACACGATAGATGTAGCCGACAACTCATGTATGCAGATAGCAGAACCCTAACATCAATCAAGGCAAGATGGCCGAGTTGGTCTAAGGCGTCAGGTTAAGGTTACCTTAGCACAACAGCTTCACAGCTTCCTGATCATCGTTTGATGGCGTGGGTTCGAATCCCACTCTTGTCATTACTTTTTGCATGTTGCTCGCATGCATCCCCAATGGCTGTGAAGTGGGGAGTGCCGCCTGCCCCGCACACTCCGCAGATAGAGAGAGATAAGCACACTACGACCCCAACTCTTTCTCACCCTCAATTAACCGTATTTTTGCCTTCTAATATAGATATGTGAATACTGTTTCTGGCCATGGCAAATGCAGGTCCCACCAGCAACCAAGAGTCCTTTCGGTTTGTTAATCCGACAATCAATTTGATCCCTCTTCAGCATTGAAGTGGCGAGATACTCGATATACACACTCCGGTACCCCTTCACCAGGCAGATTCACCCCACAAGAGCACCCCTACTGTAGAACTCTCCCATTGGTCTCCTCGACAATCAGCTCAAACTCCGGCTGGAACTCCGTGTAGAAGTTATGCTATCCATCAAATCACAATCAGCGGCACTTCTTCGACACACAAGTGACTTAAGAGGGAATTCTCACCGCGCCCTGCACAGCATCGGCCGTATACTTCGCCACCTCATCGGAGATGATCTTCTTCTGGACTCCGTTCGCAGCAGCCGCATCAGCCATCAGTTGCGAGTAACAGGCATTATCCAAGCTCGAAAAGAGGAAAGCCGCCTCATCGACCGTCCGACCCACGGTCAGAAGACTAGATGCTGGCATGTTAGCATGCCTTCTAGTCGAGGCCTCTCACCAGTTTGCGAAATGGTCGGTATAGATACTCCCAGTGAGAAAAAGGGAGAGAGCAACATACCCGTGATTTTGCAGAATACACGCCAAATTCTCCTTCCCCAGCGCCTCGGCTATCTGCCGTCCCTCGTCCTGAGCAAGGGCAATACCGCCATGATCATCGTACACACTGAGTCGGCCGAAGAAGTTGCATGCATCTGATTCATGTAGGATTCATCATTAGCATCGAATCACCGGAGAGAGAAAGAAAGAAAGAAAGAAAGAAAGAAAGAGAGAAAGAAAGAAAGAAAGAGAGAAAGAGAGAAAGAGAGACCAACCCTGCGTCAACATCTCCACCGGCTTCCCGAACGCACTCCACGTCTTCCCATACACGGAATGCGTATGCGCCGCGGCGATCACATCCGGCCGCGCCTTGTGGATCTCCGAGTGAATCATGAACCCGGCCTCGTTGATGGGCAGCTGGGCGCCGCCCTCGGTGACATAGCCGTCCGCATCTACCAATACTAGATCTGAGGCCTTGATGGTTGAGAAGTGTTTGGCGAAGGGGTTCATCCAGAAGTGGTCTTTTAGGATGGGATCTGAATATTTGATATGGGGTGGTTAGTCTGGGCTTCGTAGAATGTGCTGCACTCAAAGAAGCTTTGATCTATGGGAAAAGGGGAAAGGCAAGGCACCTCGCATGGAGATATGGCCCGACACTCCGTCGCCGTAGCCCTTCTTGCCAAAGTATCGAAAGGCAGCGGCCATGTGCTCCTTCATCCACTGCCGCTGGGCATAGACATCGGTGAATGTGGGGATCCCCCGCAGCTTGAGGGTGCCACTACGTGTACCCCGCGCCAGGGCCTGGAAGGCCTCATCGTTAGCGGCATCGCCGGGGTGGAAGTTGTTGTTGTTGATGGCGGCGGGGGCGGCAACGATGGGGAGGGTGCGTTGTTCCGCCGGGGGAGCTTGGGTGATGGTCGTGGACATTTTCTGGGTCGAATTATGGGAGCTAGGAAGTAGATATGAGCTACGAGGAAGAAGATGACAATTGTCAGGACTGAACGAGGGGTATCTGATGGTTTTATTACCTTTTGACTTTGACCTACTACATCTTATAAAGTAGGCAAGTGACTTCGGCCCCGCGGGATGGGATTGGGTTATCAGCTTATCTCCGGCACTTCAGATAGGCTCGTCTCGCCGATGCGCCTTCCACGAACAAATCACTTACTCTTTTAGCTGGCAGGGTTGAACTTATACTTGCCTAATTTAACCCACCGCCAAGAAAACGTGACGATAAGAGAGTTGAGGCGAAGTCAACCATCCACTCCATGATAAGTTATCATCTGTGCCTTCGAGGTCTTTAAACTGGGTAGATTGCTGATATTCCCCGGCCCGCATCTCTTGGAGCGGTGGTATATCAACCATATTGCCCGCACATATGCTATAAATTGTAACCAGACCGAGTGCTCCAGGTCATCAAGAAGTAAATATATATAAGACAAAGAGAAGGAAAAGTCAAACGAGAGAAACAAATACTACCACAGCAACGCCATCTATACAGTACCAGCCAGCCAGGGTATACATGAAGAAAAGAAGAAAAAAGGACAACTGTGCCGGGAAAATCGCTCAATGCTACATTGACAAGCATATGTGCACCCCTCTCTCCACACCCACCAGAAAAAGCAGGAAAGGCATTCAGATAGCCATGAGGCTACACAGCCTGATCACCCGTGCCCTTCAACAGGCTCATCTCATATTCATCTCCCCCGTTTGGAAGGTTGCGGCCCCGTCCGCGACCCCGCGACAGAGAGAAGGACTCGTCGACACCTTCAGCCTGGGGCTGAGACGAGCCTCCCACCGAACGCCCCGTGTTGTTACTGCCGGACATGCCCCCGAAGCTGATCGGCTGCAACTCCCGCCATCGACACGCCCAGATCCCCAAAAACGTCATGAGGGCGGCACTAGCGCACTGTAGGCCCCACCAGAGCCAGTTCGAGGGCACGGAGCGGGTGTAGAAGACGGTGATGACAAGGTGCAAGAAGTGTATCGTGAGCGCAAAGTCGGGAATGAGTTTCGAGCGCGACACGAGAAGTAGAAGATATATCACCCTGAGCGCGAGCGAGCACTGTTAGTAACTCCCATCATCTGTACCCAGAAGCAATGGGGACTTACCCTATCCCACTGTTCAACATCCATACCAACCCCAGCATCCACCCTACAGTTGTATCTCCTCTCAAGGCATTCCAATTTAAGACGAGGTCAAACGAGAACGGAGTGCCGTAGACAATTGTTGTGAATAGTATCAGAGCCGTCGCGGACACATAGTAGGCACTTTGAAGTAGGGCGATCTTTCGCACGATCTTCAAAGGTGGGAGGTCAGTCCGAGCCCCCGTAGGAGGCGGACGTCGGCGCGGGGGCATGAATTGCAGATGTGCTTATGGAGCTTGCGGTAAAGAAAATGTTCCGTCGAGTCTCCTTTCACCGAGGTTTCGCGCGAAAGACTGGTGAGAGGTTCAATGCGTTCGGTGGTGACAGGGCTGCCCGTCGGGCCTTCGAATATGTCGTAGGGTTCGCCCGCCGTGGAAGATTGCCAACCTGCCTTATATACAGGTTATACCGCAGGGATCACGGGCAGAAAGTTCCACCCTGCAGGTACTAGTATGGCGACAATAAAAGACTCGAAGAAAATGTCGCCAGGTGGCTGGAAGTGGTGAGAGGTTTGTTTGTGAGGATGAAAGGTGGTGGACGGGATAGGCTAGCGCCACATGACCCGGCCGTCATCGCGGAGCGGAGCGAGCGGGCAGTGCGAATATCCTACAGGGCGCCGCTGCCCCCCATACGAGCTTGCTCAAGGCGTCTCCAATTCTGCATTTCGCACCGCCATCTCGCCCCATTCTTAACAGCTTCCTGAAAGCCTCTTCTCTCGGATTCCCGAGTCTCATTTCTTTTTTCCCTTTCCAGAACCCCTGCGCAATGGGCTGGCTTCCCTGGTCTTCCGACTCCTCCTCCAATGCCGCCTCCGACGGCGGCCGCATAGCCCCCGATCGATCCTCCCGGCAACGGTGCTACGAAGGTCGCGACCTGTTCTTCTCATGTCTGGATAGGAACGATATCTTGGATGCTGTCAAGAACGACAAGGAAGCGCAGCGGAAGTGTGGAAAGGAACTTGCACAGTTTGAGACTGCCTGCTCGAGAGCTTGGGTGCGTTGCGCATAAACCCTCCCAACCATCACGGACCCTGGTTTCAACCGATGGTCACCCAGGCTCTGCAACACCAACTCGAGACTGACCGGAATGTTGAATAGGTCAAATACTTCAAGGAAAAGCGCGTCATGGAATACAATCGGGACAAGACAATCGAGCGCATCAAGCAGGAAGACGCAGCTAAGGTCGAGGATCTGAAATCACAGGGTTGGACTGCGCGGTAGAATGGGGTCATCTAAGTGACAATCCCCCCAAAGAAAAACGTATCGGGTGATAGAACGGTGCTATCAGCCCGAGAAGATCTCAAACTGTACTATATCGACTTTTCGCCCACCGATGTATAATGACTTCCAAATGAGGCTTTGGGCTAACCACTTACCCTGTGTCACAATATTTACATGCTCTCCACTACTCTGCCAAGGAATACCATTTTATTAGCATTATCGTGTGCTTGCATTTCTCTAGCGAGACTGAATAAGAGACGCCCAGTATGGTGCACGAGATCATAATAAAAAATAGATACAGATGACCTTTGTAATACACCACGCTCTCCCCAATGCCTGACCAATTTTCTGGAAAAAAGAATTCAACCATTGCACTCCTGTAATATTTGCTCGCTGATTCGACCGATGCGAAAGAAACAGAAACCCCAGCAACCGAGCCATGATAATATATCACAAGTAACATTGAATATCCGATTCTCGAGGGATCAATCAATCAACGCCCGACTTCCTGAGACGTCGCCAAAGACCGCAGTTCAGAGAGAATAGAAAGAAGAAAAGTAAAAGAAGCGAGGTGAGGAAGGTAGTCGAGGAGAGAGCATGCATCACTGCTTCCATTTACCCAGTTGATGCATAATGTTTTGTACTTGGTGGCCAACAGCAGCCTGGTTCTGCGACTGTTGGCCTCCCAGACCTTTCGCAAGCAATGAGATCAAATTAGGATCAGACACCACCGGAGCGTTGGGTGTCTGCAAAGGAAAGGGCTGGGGGACTAGCGGCTGCTGCGGATTTGCCGCAATGGGCTGTCGGGTTGCGGCATTCAGAAGACTAGCAAGATCCGCGGTAGTATGCGGGGTGGCGGCAGCAGGGGCAGCAGCTGCATGGGGGAATGGCTGTTGCGCGCCGGGAACAGTTGACGGTCGTTGCTGTTGCTGTTGGAGTACTCCCAGAAGCGATTGAAGAGTAGGTCCATCGAGAGATGTAATCAAATTCGCGATGTTAGGCTGGTTTGGCACACTAGGCAAAACAGCCTGAGGCACCGAGGCAGCCGGAGCAGGGAGAGGAACACCAAACGCCGGGTTTGGTGTGAATGGATGGGGCCCACCACGTTGCACGGATTGCGCATGGAACACGATCTCAGCGGCGATGCTAGGTTCAACATCGGGGTATTCTGACCTCATGTTAGATGACACTTATTCCTCGTGAAAGACAACCAGCACGACAGGCGACAGCTTACCATTTGACCGAACATTGTCCGGACCTCCACTTCGATCAAACACCTGCAGCGGAATCTTTCTCGAGAACTGGCTCGGTCGTGATAGTCTGACTATAGCAAGGACACCCTCCTGGATCTGGCGTTGAACTGCAGCGCTGAGTGGGATCCTTGGTCCAAGTACTAGAATATCGACCCGAAGCCCCCGGTTGCGGAACGAGTTCTCAACGTGGAACAAGAAGTTTCTGGACTTGGGCGTTAGCAGAGCGGATCCGCTAATTAACATGCAAAATGGCAGGACACGTTTGACTTACCGATCGACTTCTTCAAGAACTAGGAGCTGCACTTCTGGAACATCCCTTGGAGCTCGTCGGGGGACCGGTATGTCTGTCTCTGATTCATACGCCCCACGTGCCCGCGGACTGGGGCTGCGGTACCTTCTATCCCTGGCGTATGGAGATCGAGAACGCCGCCGCTCACGTCGGTCATAGCGCTCAGGAGTCCGATCCCGGGACCTGTACCCATCCCTGCCGCGGAAAGCACGTGGTGATGGTGACCGCGGTGGACGGTAGTCATCGCGTCGCCGATGGGTCGGTTCGTCCCTGAAGTCGCTGAAAGGCACTCTGCCGGATTCATATGGTCGGTCATAACGCTCGCCCGGAACTCGCGCGTTGCGGGTACCAGAAGGACCGCCTCGACTATATTCAGGGGACCTTGATCGTCTCGAAGGGGGCGCACGGGGCTGTTCCCCGGAAGCAGTTCCAGGTCTTGTGTTTCTCTGCGGCTTCGAGATTTCAAGATCTAGAAGGGGTTTCATCATTAGCCTCCAATTTGCCCTTAAGGAGTCTATCGGCAATACTTACGAACTTTCCGTCCTCTGACTACGGCTCCCTGCTCCGAATCTAATGCATTCTTGCAAGCAGAGGAGTCTAGGAACTGAATGAATCCATATGCCTGCTTGATCGAAATCTGAGCGAGTTTGCCGAACTTGTGAAAGATATGGAACAGATCTCGTTTCGTGACGCGTTCTGTAGGCAAATTGCCTGCACGCATAGTAGAACGGGACAAATTAGCCGGGTGGAAAACGAAGGCGATTGGGCCGAGTGGAGGGGTACAACTCACCAACAAATAATCTAGAGCCAGGCGGGAAACGATCCCAGAGGCCTTCTGTAACATATATCCTCTCATCGTGAAGAAACTCGTCGTATTTCTTTTGTACTTCAGGACCCCAAGGAGTATCTTCATCGGCGTTGCTTTTGGACTGTCGAGTACTTATCCGTTCCGCACGACCGTTTTTAGTGGCCGTGGCCGGAGCGGCAGCGGTGGCAGTAGCGGCAGCACTGGGAGCAGTGGCAGCAGTGGCGCCAACAGCAGCAGACTCTTGAGGCTCTGCATGCTGGAAGCTTGCCACAGGGGGAGGGGGCAGCGCGCTGACTCCCGCAGAGGTGCCTGGGGCGCCAGCAGCTGCCAATGGCGATACTCCCAGGTTAGACTGGTAATGATTACTTTGTTGGGCGGGGTAGGAAGGAGAGGAGGGCTGTGCGGTGGAGGAACTAGGGGGAAGCTGATGGTAGGAACGGATGTCATCACTAGCATTGTAGTTGGGATGGATAGAGGGTTTGTCTTGGGGAGGAGGGCGCGGGGGAAGTCCCAGGTCGTCCGTTCCGGCTTGGGAGAGCGCAGATGCATCGGCCGTAGATAAGGCGGTTTCTGCAACGGTAGGGGCAGAGAAAGCAGTAGAGGAGGGGGGGAGATTATCGAGGAGGTTTTGGAAATCGACACCATCCTCACCGGTGCTATCAGCGGGTTTGTTCTGGGAGACTAGGCGATCGGACGGGGGAAACGAGGTCGTCCAGCTGGTAATAGCAGGATTTACCTCACTCGCACTGGGGTAATTCTGGGCGGCATGGGAAGAGGAGGGAGGGACATCGGGCATAGGGTGAGCTATGATGGCAGCGGCATCTGATGGAGGCAATGTGGTTAGAGAAGAGTTTGTGGCTGTTGTTCCTAGGATCGTAGAAGTGTACGGATTCGAGGGTGCAGATCGATCTGACGGCAGAGACGCCTGGGGGATAGTGGGCACAGCAGGCATTGTGTGGTTATTCCGGTTGTTCACCGAACCCTCATCCAGTATGAAAGAGCCAAGTTGGAAGCTACCTTGTGTGTGGTGGTGATGATGATGATGATGATGGTATGCATGATGGGTATAGTGCGGCGGCGGCGGCTGTTGCTCCGGGGCTTGTTGCGCGGAGCCGGTCGCATTTCCCCTCATTGCTTCAAACCCAACATAAGGGCCTTGAGATGCATAGGGATTTGATCCATTTTGATGCGCCTGGGAGTTGAGTCCATGATGGTATTCGGAGGACCTCTCATAAGTCGAAGTGTCATTGAAGACAGGATCCATTTGATTTTGGAGCACCGGAATTTTGGCCGGCTCCGCGACGTGTAGCGGACGAGGGCTTTCGGGAGTCAAGGTCTTGCCTCGGAAGTGGAGAGCTTCATCTGGGGAATTGGGCGTCATGTAGACCAAGGTCGAGAGGACGAGTCATCTACAGAAAAAGACACGCAGAGAAGAACCAGAAGGACCAGAAGGACCACAGGAGAGATAGGGATTTTGGAAAATCGTCCAAGCTAAGGTGGGGCTATCTTGAAAAAAGAGCCGGGCCGTTGGAGCCGGGGCGGTAAAGGAGACGATGCGATGGCAAAAGACGGACTGACGGAGGCGAGGAAGAGGAAAGTGTGTGTGTAGAGAGAAAGAGGGAGACGAAAGAGGAAAAGAAGGGGAGAGTATCTCCTGATAGAGTGATGAAAATACCCACGAAAATGTCAAGGTCGGGTGAACTCCCAAGTAATAATGGTCAAAGGGTAACCAAAAAGTAAGAAAGTACAGTACAAGTACAGTAGTTGATGGGGAGGAATCGAAGGAGAGGTAGAAAGTAGGAGGGAGAGAGAGGGGAGGGACGGGTGGAGGGAGGGGGGAAAGAGGGTGGTGGCAGGAAGAGATGGGAAGGAAAGAAACACCACCACCACCACCACAACCACCACCACTACTACTACCACAAGGTTTGCGTAGAGCAAAAGGGATCTAGTAATAGAGCAAGTGACAGGGATAGGCAGAGTGAGGGCGAACCAGTTTGTTCAACCATACACAAGCACTCAAGAGTCAGTAAGAGTGATGCTGGATGGCGTACTGTACGGGGTGATGAGCTTGGAGATAATCCCGAAAGAAGTTGGTACGAAGTAGTACTGTAGTCTACTACTTAGTAGGTAGGTAGAGATTGCCCTGAACCTGCCGGAGCTAACTACTCGAGTACAGTACTTGCTGTACCTAGTAGTGTAGTATTGGGGAGGAAAGAGGAAAAGGGAAGGAGGAGAGGTTGGCCCTGTGAGTGTGCACTGTGAGGGAAGTGAAGATGTGAGTGAGTGAGTGAGGTCAGGACTCAACACACACGCCAGGTCATTATTACGGGAGAATGGGTCAGAGTTTGCGCCAGTCAGCTTGATCCCGCAGTATGAATGGCTAGCATTGTCATTAGCGGCGGGTCAAGGCGCGCCTAGATTTTCTTCTGCTGGAACTGCTGGAACTGCTGGAACTGCTGCGACTGCTGCGACTGCTGCAATTCCCTCCCTCCATCTAGACTAAGAATAAACGCTAAGTCGACTATCGGTCTGTCACCGAGTCCAGATTCATGGCTCTGATGGGCCTCTTCCGTGTATATGTCTGGGTTGGGTTAAGCTTACAACAGCTGGACATGTCAAGTGATTACCTGTTTTTCGTATTGTAGTAGTCTTTACTAATGGTTTACAATTGTGGCTTGATAGAGATAATTGTACTTAGTACCTTACCTCATAAATCAGATAGTCTCGCGTAACAACGAAGTGAGGTTGAAGAAGAGCCTTAAGGGCACTGGCGGGAACTACTACCACTAACCTTGAAACCAAGCAGTAACTTATCTGCCCGACCGAGCCGACCTTAAATCGAGGTAGTACGTAGTCTAGCACTGATCTTATTCATACCATTCTTACCGCTAAGGAACGGGCCCTTATGCTCGATCCGTACAGCTACTACCTCGCTAGAGTCAGCTACAGCTAGACTACGTTCTGGAAGATCCTCCTCGTGCTTGTTACTGGTTAGCATCTCATCCTTAATTCAATGTCCCCTTCATCCCCTCCCCCGTTTCCAATTACGTGCATCTGCACCACAAACTGCAGCATTTCGGGATTTCTCTCAACAAGCACGCACTAGACCGAATCAGAGAATGAACCCGTCACTTTCTGCCATGGCTACCGCGCTCCTCCATAATTCTCCCCGTAGTCTTCTCTGCCTTCCTGTTCGCCGCGGTCCTCTCCTCCTTTCTCGGATTGCCAGCCCCACCGTCGCAAAAAGACCCTTTGCGTCCAGACGGTCCGCCGCTATCAAAGATGAAGACCAGGTATCGGAAGATGACCTGAGCGCCGCGCGTCAATGGCTAGCTAGCTTCAGCTCCAAGACAATCCCGCGTGACATCTGTGAAGTTTCCTTCAGTCGTTCGGGTGGCCCGGGGGGTCAAAACGTGAACAAGTCTGTTCCCGCCTTGAAAGCCGGTTCATCCCGGTGTAAACTACGAATAAGATATGGAGTACCGTCCGACTAACGCATGTACCTCTATTGAATATGAACAGGGTCAACTCGAAGGCCACCTTAAGGGTTTCGCTTGATTCATTACTGCCACTGGTGCCCCGGATCTTGCATTCCCCGCTGCAAGCAACTCACTACATCGCACCAAGGACTCGCAGTCTGGTTATCCAGTCAGAAGAATCTCGCAAGCGGAATGAAAATGTGGAGTCGTGCTACGACAAGCTCCACCAGCTTATCAAGAGAACAGCATTGGATGCTATCCCTGGGGAAACGTCGCAAGAGCAAAAAGACCGAGTCCAAAAACTGTATGCAAACATGATAACTGCTTGGTATTCATGAAACAAGACGCGGCTCTCAGCTAACACTATACAGGCAAAAGGCCGCGAACGAGGCTCGTATCAAATCGAAGAAGTTCCTCAGCAGCAAGAAGAGTAGCAGACGAGGCAGTAAAGACGATTAATACAATGCTAACTTTTTCATGACCCCTCATGCTGCTTGCTGACGCAGTCTGAAAATGGTAAATTCCCGTTCAACGCCTGCATATAACTTGAATAACAATGCATAAAATCTAAACTCCCTGAACAACGCGCTCTGCATTGCGGATAGTGGCAGAAATGGCTTTGTGCAGTGAAGGATCCAGGCCTTCGGTCTTCTCGAGTGGTTGCAACCAGCTGATGATCTCCTTGGCCACAGAGGGGTTGCTGCGATGAGCCGTAAGACGGCCGAACGATGCGGCAAAAGCACGCGGGAACTCAGGCGAAGTGACTTGTACTCCTGCTGTGGGGAGCTTGATATGACAGATGTGTGTATGGGGACTGTCGGGCTTCGCTTTCTGCATGGAATCAACCACATGCTGCAGAATCTTGCGCAGGCATGGCAGATCGTCGTATTCGGCCGCCATATCATAGAACTCATGGCCAAATCTGTCATCGTCGTTGAAATTCTTCATGGCTGTTTCAAAGATGGCGATAGGGATGGCGCCGCTCAGGGCGGGTGTCGAATTAAGGGCTTCAAGCGCCGCTTCATCCACTTCATTCTCATCCTCAGCGCTGGGATTGATATCTTCACCGGTGATCGTTGGCAGCCTAATCATATCTGCATCCATGTCATCCAGAGGCTCTTCTTCCTTTCGAGCCTTGACGGGCTTGTCGAGTCCCAAGATCCGCTGTCGAGCAACAAGTTTGGCAATGTAGAACATCTCGAGTCTTCCATAAGCGAGCCACAATTTCTTCGAGCTTTTGCAAAACCTCAGCCCGCGCTGCATGTAGCTTCGAGACTGTGTCATATCGGCGTGATCTTCCACATTGTATTGTGCGGCATAGATCCACAGATCGACATTGGTCGGATGCAGTCGCAAGGCATCGGTGAGGATATTCGAAAGCTTCTTGTAGGACTTTTGTTGTCTGGTATATTCAATGTACTGAATCCACAATCCGATATCACCGTGGAATTTCCGTGTCGCACGGTCAAGGATGAAGAAAATCCTCCTCTGCCCGGTATGGCCGGGCATCTTGATACCCAGGCGTTTCACTCTCTTTCGTCGCAAACTGTCCAAGTTCATTTCATATTGGGCATATCGTACAAAATCAGACGGGAGGGCACCGCGGGCATTGAGCTTATGCTCGAAATCAGATCTCTTCTTGACAATCGCCGAGATTTCTTCCTAAAGTCCGATTAACGATTTGCATCAGTTTTTGTGGCCACGACCAAATGGCTGAGGGCTGTCTGATATAGTACCTTGGAAAAGATCTTCTTCCTTTCGTACTCTCTAAGCTCTGGAACTGACTTCTCCAGATAGAAGCGCGCTTTGTCAGTAGCGTTGGACATGGTTGCGATGGCTTGAGCCCTGTTCGAATGGTTCTGAGCAGATCGCAAGTCCTGTCAGAATAATATGGCAAAAAAAAGTGGTCGGCATCCCGCACGAGATCTCCGACTATCATGGTCCCTGGCCGCCTGCCTATTTGGCACTAGTATCATTTGCGCGCCCGCGTGGTTGCCGAGCCTCCAATCCGACCGAGGGTCATCCCATTCAATCCATCCATCCCATCTCACCTCAGGGGGGTTTGTGTCTCTTGGAAATTGACTTGTTGTTCCATTCCCCGGTCGTATCAGTCTCTCTCTTTCGTTCTTTAGTCTCTTCTTTCTTAAATTTTCTGACACTCGTTATCCTATCATATTTCGAAACTTTTACAATTCTGCCTCAATCGCCTCATTAACCGGAGCTCGAGCCCGGTGTCTCCTGCCCTATCATGGCACCCAGATATAAAGATGGGGATGCCGTCGTGGCTGTTAGTGTCTATCTCAACTCACAAAATGACACCGTCTAATCGAACCTCCGACACAGATAAATGGAAAATGGATCTCATGGACTCACACTGCTGTCGCCTACACGGCCTTCTTCAGTGCCCTGGTGGTGGGGATGTCCTTGCATTTCCACAAGATCGTCCAGAACGAACACTACGGTTATCCCGATGAATGGTTTCCTTCCGTCTCAGCGACCATTGGCGATCGCTACCCCGAGCGGTCTTTCTTCCAAGTATTCATTGCTATCACTTCTGGACCTAGATTCGCCCTTGTCTTCTTATGGTATCTCCTTACGGCCCGTCCGAACTCCGCTCTCCCCAAGCTGGTTGCTGGTGTCGGATTGTTTCGGACATTCACCTGCGGAGGGTGGACATATGTGACCTCGACTGATGATCACGACTGGCATGATATTTTCATGATCTCATACTTGGTTGCGACTCTGCCATGGACCCTCGGCTGCCTCGCTTTGAGCCCGAATAACCGCCAGGCTGTCAAGTATCGGAAGATCTTCGCCGGTCTATTCTTCGGCACACTCGTGCCATTGATCTACTACTTCATCCAACACAAAGTGCACAAGGTTCCTGGAGGTAAGTCTCAAGTGCACCCGCAGCTTACTCGGCTTGTGTCTAACCTCGCTAAGCTTATACGAAATACGCTTTCTTCGAGTGGTCGCTTATTCTGTTCGACGTGGGATTCGACGCGGTTACTGCGCTTGATTTCGAAGCATTCGAGATTGTTGTAAGGGACGTCAAGGGGGTCAGCAGAGGGTATGTACAGTGGCTTCCAAAATAAATCACAAGGGAGAGGGGGAGAGAGAAATGTACAGTTGCCAAAAAAGAAGTCGGTTGTGGTGCATTTGAAAGACGTGATCTAAGCTCTTTGGGAAACATCTAGGCAGTTGAAGACCACTGCGGACTCCGTTCTTGAAAAAGAGTGTGTATAGCCTGTTCTCCAACAATCTCAAGGATCATTGCAGTTGACTCGTAGTCAGGAAGGGCAAGCCTGTCGGCAACACCTTTGGCGAGGGATTCTTCTGGACAGAGGTCATTGATGCTGCTGCGGAAGTCTACAATGGGGTAAACATCTCTTTCTGCTGATCGCCCCGGAACCTTTGCTAACGGAGTGTAGTTCATTTTCTGGACCCTCTGCACTGCCCTTCCTGTTCTCGTTTGGTGTAAGTGATGGTTACAAAACCCCGGAACGTGCATGGCTAATCGCACTAGACTTCCCTCTCTGGCATATGGGTATCTCCGGATACGAGGCTGCCATCGTCTCATATCTGTCACCAATTCTTCTCGCCATTCCAGCTCTGAAATCCGCGGTGGTCAAGAATCCTCGTCTTTTCCATCTTCTTTCGTTGTCCGGACTTCTAGCATACAAGATTCAAGACCCCGCCAACCGGCTCTTCTTGACTTCTTTCAGCGTTGTCTGCAGTTGTATGACATGGGCCGCCACGCTCTACGCTGAGCGTGGAAACAATGCCAGGTTGGAGTCGCGGGTCTTTGCGTGGGGCACCGGTCTGATCATGTCGAGCGTTGCCAAGTTCGCCTGCACCACGAACAACCCAGTCTGGCCGATCATGCATGCGGAGAATGGTGGATGGAACAAAATTGGACTTCTACTTGCCATTCTGGCTGTTCTGCGATCTTACAGAAGACCTGCGACAAGTGGAGGTGATTACCTGCCATCCAGCGGCAAGAAAGGCTCCTGGCTTCCGGCTGGAATGGGTATCGGAGCGTTGGTCTTCGCCATGCACTACCTTCTTTCTGATTCTAGCACCATGATTGCCTGGGTCTGGGAGGGATATCCTGTGCGCGGACCTATCGCGGCTCCTCACGGTGCCCTCACCATCTTTGCCATGGGCGCCGGCCTTGTCTATGGTCTCTTCTATCCTGCCGCGGCTGGCAGCTGGACGGCATACGGAATTGGTTCTCTCGGCGCGGCATTCCTTACTTGCTACAGCCACTGGACTGGATTCTACGGTGCTCTTGTCCTTGCTTTCTACTTGCTCGCAGTAGCCCCGGTCCTTATCTCTTCTGCTGTTCGGCACTCGCCGGCGGCTACCTTTGGACTTGGTTTCTTTGTTTATATGATTCTCGTGCTGTTCCATGTCTGGGTTGTTGCCTACGCCTTCGTGCCTGGTGGATACCTTGTTAGAGAACACACTGACTGGATCATGATCACAACCATGTTGTGTATTGGTGCTGGTGTCTTTTCTGCTGCAGTCTCTAATTCACACAACTCACGGAGCAAGATCGTCAGCCCCAACGGCAAAAGACAGCGCTCCTACTTTATCTATGTGCTCGCGGCCCTCCAGCTTCTGTCTATTTCGATTGCTTACCTTCGGTTCCCCACAAATGACTACACTCCCTATCACAAGGAAGACAAGGTTGCTACTATGGGTATCTGGACGGTGCACTTCGGCTTGGACAATGACATGTGGGCTTCGGAGAGGCGCATGCGTGATGTGATCCAAGAGCTGGAGCTTGATGTGATTGGTCTGCTGGAGTCGGACAACCAGCGTATCATTATGGGCAACCGTGATATCACCCAGTTCCTGGCAGATGACCTCGGCATGTACGCTGATTTCGGACCTGGTCCCAACAAACACACGTGGGGATCTGCCTTGCTGTCTAAATTCCCGATTGTCAACTCTACTCACCACCTCCTTCCCTCCCCTGTTGGCGAGCTTGCTCCTGCCATCCATGCTACCCTCGATATCTATGGGGAGTTGGTCGATGTCGTTGTCTTCCATTCGGGCCAGGAGGAAGACCCTGAAGATCGTCGCCTGCAGTCCGAGTATCTGTCTAACCTGATGGGCTCATCGGACCGTCCCATGGTTCTGTTGAGTTATCTCGTCACGAAGCCGCTTGAGGGCAACTACAACACATATGTTAGTGAGACAAGCGGCATGAAGGACATTGACCCTACCGATTGGGACAGATGGTGCGAATACATCCTTTTTAAGAAATTGAAGAGAACAGGCTATGCTCGTGTCAGTCGGGATTCTATCACCGACACAGAAATCCAGGTAAGCCCTCTTGACTGGTAAATTCAACTCGTTCCCTGCTGACAAATACGTGCGCTAGGTCGGTAAATTTGTGATTGGCGAGCCTGAGCCTGAGAGCGAGTTGCGTATTCCCGAGGAGATGGTTC